TTGTTGCTCGTACTTGCGAATTGGATCTCATTAAATTTATAACTTTTCTATAAGATAAAGTATTTGGTAAGAGAAGACGGGTAGAAAATTTCTTAAGTATATATATAATTATATATATAGACAAATCTTCATGTCAGGCCGGCCTGACGGGATGCTCCGTCCGGTCGAGGACATTTCGGGCACTTTCCAGTGGAATTTTTTGATGAATTTTTTTGAGCATGTTCTTCATGAAGTCTAGTTTATCCTAAAAATATGAATTCTTTCCTAAATTAAACTCCATTAACATTTTATTTTCTCATTTCATATTTCATGTATTATTTCACTCGCTTTTTGTGGATCCGCCTTACCTTTTCTTTCTTTTGAAAGTTAGAATGGTAAAACAACAATTTTATCTTTTTATTTTCTTAAAACTGATGCTAGGCACACATACATCTAACATTATGTTATGAAGGTAGTATACATGTTTCCCGTCATTTGCTATATCACTGTATGCCATTGTGGTCGGTGACACCACCGAAAGATGTCACTATGACCTCTATTAGTTAGGGGTGAAGAAAAAAAAAACCAAAATCAATCGACAAATCAACCGAAACCGGATCGATCAAAATCGAACGTAACTGAATGAAATCGATGCCGACTAACTCATCGACGGTTCGGTTTATGGTTGTACTTTTGGATTAAAAAATGATCGACAAAAACCATCAAACGTGTTAAAACCGACCGAAATTGATACAAACAAACCGCAATTAACAAAACCGGAACCGACTAAAACGGATTCAAGTTGTGCATTGCACATGTATTCATTAGGGAGAGATAGAAAATCACTTCCTAATGTAACTTGCTTCTTAGCTTAGGGTAAAGAATGTGATTTTTAATGGGGATAAGAGTCAGTTTGGTCCTCGAAGTTGCAAAAAAGGGGTCAAATAAGTCCTTATATAGAAAATTCTGTCCGGACGTGCCATTTGAGGTGGCTCCCGGTGGAATTTTTTGATGAAATTTTTTGAGCATCTTATTCATTAAGTCTAGTTTACTCATACCAAATTTCAGATAAAAATTCAATCGGGAAGACATTCAAATGAATTCTTGAAGATAACTGTGCCGTTAAAAGCGCTGTTATCTTCAGGAATTCATTTGAATGTCTTCCCGATTGATTTCTTAGCTGAAATTTGGTATGAGTAAACTAGACTTAATAAATAAGATGCTCAAAAAAATTTATCACAAAATTCCACCGGGAGCCACCTCAAATGGCACGTCCGGACAGAATCTTCTATATAAGGACTTATTTGACGCCTTTTTTGCAACTTGGAGGACTAAGCTGACCCTTTACTCATTTTTAATGTTATCTCCAGTCATTGTATTACATATTCATTCATATGATCGATTGTAAAAATGTTACAAAACATTTGGCTATTCTTACAAATATCTTATAGTAATTGTTGAATATGATGGTAGACATGCAAGGTCCACTGTACTAAATAATTATATTAGGTACTTCATGAAAAAATAAGCTTGAATTAAAATAAGGGTTAAATATATTTTTAGTCCCTGTAAATATGACATATTTTATTTTAATCCCTGTAAAAATATTTTTCTATATTTTTCTACTTTGTTATGATCAGTGATTGAAAGATTGAAAAGAAAAATAATACAGTATAAATCGCAAAGATAAAATAATACTAAAAAATAATTTTTCAATGATGTAAAGCTCGTATTAGTTTTAGATAATGGTAACATTGGTAAGCATCAGATATGAAACACTTGAACACATCTCAACTCATTCTGGACGGGATAATTGACTTGAGTGCTAGATAAGTACACTATAGCTCCCCAGCTCCCCTAAACTTGATAGGGAGTAACACTAACATCTTACTCCCTCCGTCCCAATTTGATAGTCTCGTAGCAATTTACGGTGTTTGACTAACGATAAAACAAACTGATCCCTGTCAACAACCAAATTATTTGTAGTAAATAAAATTTATATATTCAGAAAGCATATTAAAAGTTTTACAAAATCGGGAAAAAATAAAATTTAATAAAAGCTAGATATGTAAAGTACCCTGTAAAAGATTAAAAGTGATTTATGTTAACCAAGTGAATAAGATACAAAACCATCAAATAGGGACGAACGCATTATATGTTATTTTGTTATTCCATATCCAGCCAATGTGGGATAAACTCTTCAAGAAGTTTCATCCACTTTGCCCTTTATTGTTTAAGGCTCTTTTGGTTAAGTGTATATGTGGCCATTTACGAGCGATTCAATTTGTTTACGGTTCCGGCCACTTCAATAAAGTCTATGATAACCTTTTTTTATCATGTTGCGTTTTGGTACCTTAATTTTTAAAAGAATCAAATCAGTATCACGTTACTTATGTTCATCATCACTGTACAGTGGACTCAACACATGGAATTTCGATTGCCATGAAGGACTTTTTGGCAGCAAATTTGAATGATATTCTCAGTTGAAACATTATATCTATGTATAGTTATGATACTGCTTTCATTCCATTGGTCAAGGTACCTTTAATGCATTTCATGGAAGAATGTTCCTAGCTAGTAAGAGAAGAGGAGAAGAAGTATGAAACTATCCGGAGAGCTTCGTACAAAGGCTTCTTATTCTTCTTCTTCAGATACTAAATTAAATGTTTGCATTTAGCAAATTAGATCATTATTCCATAATTCCAAATGCAAAATAAAATGATTTTTTTATTATAAAAATACAATGAGATATTTCGTAATTGCTATTTGTTGTTTTTTACTCAATAAGAAAGAAAATAAGAGGTAAATTGAGACAATGTTTTTAACCTCTCCTGTGAAGTGGAGAACGCGTTCTACGGCGAGGTAAATGGAGACAATGTCAATCAGACGGCGGCTGCCACCCACATCGGCGAGTACTCCAAGGTGAGATCTTCTTCCTCTCTGACGGCACTCAATATTATTTATTTCTTCACCCCAAACTAATTAATTAATCAAAACCAGAAAGTGCCTGAAAGACACTTCAGCCACCGCTGGATCTTGGCGATGATTTATGTATGAAAATGTTCAAAATTCTGAAACAATGTTATAAAATGAATGAATGCGTTGATTAAACTCGCATACAGCTGGGGCGGATCCAGCAATCCTAACCATTGGGGGCACCGATTAAGTAAGAGTGATTTTTTTTTGAATAATTATATACTATATATAAATTTTTATCTTCGAAAGATGAAATAGTGAAATATTAGGAAGACGAAAAATGTTACATGTTGTTACAAATGCTCACGATGAGTTTTCATTTTTTGAAAATGGTCCATCACAATTTTGTTTGTAATGGTATCAAGTACGTCTTTTTCTGACATCCTCTGTAACAAATATATAAGACAATTATTTTAAAACAGATCAAATTAACCCCAAACTAATTAATTAATTCGTTTTTATTGATTCTTCTTCTTACATCTAAAAATATGCAAGTCTCCCCCAATATTTTTAGAAACACAAGGTTAGGCTAAACATTAAGGAAAATTAAGCAAATACGTACTATATGGAAACAAGGATTTAGGTACAATTTAGGTAACTTTAGACAACTATGGACTAAACCTCAAACGATGTAATTAACCTTAATAAACGAACAAGCTAGCTTCTTCCAAAAAAACAAATGATCAATAAAAACCCAAATTCAATGATACCCCTAAAGTGCCGTACTTTATCTCATATATATGGATCACTCAAAATATTACAATTAAACAATTAAAATATACTAGTATATGAATGATGAAATAGTGGCATGAATTAATCATGTCATACATGTTATACATACGATCGATACCCGGCCTCACTTTTAATGAGTACGGTAAGATGGAGGATGGATTGAACGTACCAAAAAAATTGATTTCCTAAAATGTATAATAACGCCTAACTTGCTGGAAAATGATACAACAAATGAATTAAAGAAGTATAACAAGGCGGGCATAATTATTTGAACAGGCGGAAAAGTTGGCGTGCCAAGCAGGGATGGATTTAGGGGGGGCGCGGGGGGCGACCGCCCCCCTTGGATTTTCAAAATTTTTTACCATATATGTAATATTTTCATAGAACTTTCATAATTTAATTAGATTCGCCCCCCTTAGCTTTTAATTTTCAAAATTAATATATAGTCTTACATTATGTAATACTTAATTGGAGATTTGAAAGAAATAACATCTAAAATAATTTACATAACTTAAACAAATAAACAATAGAATAACTCGTTGTTTAAGATTTGGGATACTTATTATATAAAAATTCCTAGTTTTGTAATGTTTAATTATCTTTATTAGATAACAAGTACTGAATTTTGTAAAATATATATCAAATGATATTAAATACCAGACACACTAATTACACAGTATTTAGATCACGTGAAATGATCCAAAATATAAATGTTTATTGAAATTAAAGTACATAATTTGTTTACTTCTTGCTTTCTAAAAAATAATTTATTGCATAGATAATAAACTTTAAATTATTATAGCATTAATACAAATATTAAAATATAATATGTACCATATATATAATATGTGGTGCATATTATCTAAAAATAATAATCCCATAAATATTACTATTGTAATATTAAGAAAACTTCTCATGAGTCATGACTCACGAACACCCTCCTTGGTAGACAAAAATTACAATTCAATAACCGATTCATGAGATTAAACAATGTAGAAGTTATTTAAAATGTATTGGTTGATGTCTTTGTCATTGTCTAAACTTAGAATGTAATAGATTTAAATATCGTTGGGAATGTTTATGTATTAATGTCATTTTTTGAATTAAAATAGCCGCATAGCCCTACAACACCGAAAAAATTCGCCCCACTACACTATGGAAAAAAAATTCGCGCCGCTACATTAATGAAAAATTTTTCGCCATCTACACTAACGAAAAATTTCGCCCCCCTTGAGTCAATTTCCTGGATCCGTCCCTGGTGCCAAGTTTTTTTTTTAGGTGCAGAGACATCCCTTTAAAATAGGGGCATATATAGTATATAAACGGATGACTATTTGAGTGAAGAAAAATAAAAAACTTGTAGCATTGAAGCTTTCCTGGAGTCCTTGACAGTGAAGGCAGAAATTGAAGAGCCTAATAATGGAGGAGATAGGGTTTTTGGGCATGGGAATTATGGGGAAAGCTATGGCCACAAACTTGCTCCACCATGGCTTTAAGGTCACTGTTTGGAATCGCACTCTTTCTAGGGTAAACTTAATTAAATACCATCTATCTATAATTCTATCTAGCCATCAATGTATAAATGTATTGCAAATCAAATTCGATCAGATATTAACGTAGTATTATGAGTGTGTGACGTACTAGACGCCCGTTGATGAATTGAAGATCTACTTCGGTTTGCTATATTTTTTGGAATGGCCACTCATGAGCTGAGTGATGATGAGCCATATATGATCATGAGCATCGGATGTGGTGATTGTACGTGTGGGAGTAAGTGTTGGCCGAATAACTCGAAAATGGACTTTTATAGTTAGATGCGTCAGACGTCGTCTTAAAAAATTATTTTCCGACGTTTGGTAATATATCTGAAGATGTAAGTAGGCACTAGCTCTTCTAGGCTAGAACGGTAACAAAATAACTATGAGAAAGAAGAAAACATTATTGAACTCATCGGCTGATACATATGAGCTCATTTTGTAACGTTGAAATTGGCTAAATCGGATGAATCTGATGAAATTAGTGAAATTCTAACTGATGCGTTTGGATTGGTTGAAATATATTTTATGAATAAATTAAAGAACAATATACTCCGTACTACATAATGACCCTCCACATTAATTTCATCCAATTAGATAGAAATATATCTTCAACGATGTTATTATTTTGATTATTACACAATTCAACACGTGAAAGTAAATGTTACATGTTTGATAAAAAAGATTTATAAAGCTGATAAACTGAAAGGGGTTCTTTTAAACGGTTCATAATTTTGTTTAGTATATAAAGTAGGTTGCAGCCGCCATGAAAGTCTTACTTTTTGCTAAAAATTGGTCTTTGTTGAAGAAAATTCTATGTAGTATTCAATCGTGTTTTTAGAATATGTATTAGGGTTTGTAATTTCTCCCTATTTATAGGACATTTGATAGTAAAATCACATACAAACAATTCTCCCTACAATATCTTATGCGACCCCCGAACTCTAATCTTAATTTCTCTTTTCTCTCGGTAACTTTTCCGCCACAGGAGGTATCGGAATTCTCCTTTTCGTGATCCAATATAATTCGACACTTTACTCTACAAGCACAAACCAAATATTGATTTCACCAACTCGAGTTTGTAATAATCAAATAAATAAATTTGAAGTTATTTTTCTAATTGAATTGGGCGAAGTTGTTGTAAAGTACTCGGTACCATTTAAGCTATTTTTCATATAATTCTTTATTTTATTAATAAAATACTACATATGTTTTAGACATATTTTTCTCATAATTCAGCAGAATCTACCAATTCAATTTCCACGCTACCAAATACGATAGTAGGTTCTTATTTTTTCTCCAGTTGGTTTATTAGGTAATTAATGCAGTAGTCATTGAGCTTTCGTGTTAAGTAAATATGTAATGATCAAAAGATGTTTTATTTCATAAATGCAGTGTGATGAGTTAGTCAAACACGGAGCTTCTTTGGGAGAATCTCCAGCAGCAGTAGTAAAAAAATGCAAGTATACGATTGGAATTGTGTCCGACCCTTGTGCTGCACTCTCGGTTTGTGAAGAGAACCATCAACATCTTGAGATAGCTTTTTCGAACTTCTTTTTCTTTTGCGTAAATTTGAGTACATTTTGTGTGTGTTTAATTTGATTACTGTTAGGTTGTTTTTGACAAAAACGGTGTTCTTGAGCAAATATGTGACGGAAAGAGTTATATACATATGTCGACCGTTGATGTGGATACTTCTTCGAAAATAAATGAGGTATACGAACTACATTCAATCCACTTATTCTTGAAATAGAATTAAAAGTAGTGTCAAATTCAAAAATAAGAGTACTATATTCTGGCTCAAAAGAGGAGTAAACAAAAGTGGAATAAATACAAGTAAAAGTGAGTGCGAATGATATCACTCGTTAAGTCATTTTTTTATTTTAATCAACCCTGCGGCGGCTATAGGCAGGGGCCCTGCCTATATATATATATATATATATATATATATATAGAGGAATGCTCCTGTCCAGACGTCCGGACAGGAGCCGCCGTCCGGCCGGCGGCGTTTGGCCGCCTTCCCGGTGGAATTTTTTGATGAAATTTTTATGGCATGTTCTCCATCAAGTCTAGTTTATCCACAAAAAAATTCAGCTAAAAACTCAATCGGGAAGGTCGTCAAATGATTTTTGCAAGTTAACTGGTCCGGAAAATACATATTCCGGACCAGTTAACTTGCAAAAATCATTTGACGACCTTCCCGATTGAGTTTTTGGCTGAATTTTTTTGTGGATAAACTAGACTTGATGGAGAACATGCCATAAAAATTTCATCAAAAAAATCCACCGGGAAGGCGGCCAAACGCCGCCGGCCGGACGGCGGCTCCTGTCCGGACGTCTGGACAGGATCTTTTCTATATATATATATATATATATATATATATATATAGGGGAAAGATCAAGTACAAACTGTGCTTATTGTGCAAATATTTGTACGATGCACCTTAACGTTCTTTGTATTGCATATTGAGGTTCAAAGTAGTGCATATTATTCAGCCATAAAATAGCAGTTGCACATTAACGTTCAATGAGTTGCACCCTAAAAAAGTTGGGTTTTATTACAAAAATGCTACCTTGGCTTTATATCCTTTGGATCAACTCATCGGATGGTCAAGATGAGTTTGTACTTTGTAAATTAAGAAGGGTTTGTATTTGATTTCTATATATATATATATATATATATATATATATATATATATATATATATATATATATATATATATATATATATATATATTATTTTAAAACAATATGTATTGTGTAAAACGAGATGCGCAATACCCAATTTGAAAACAATTGAATACTTGTATATTCCCTATATAATTATTATTGGATATGATAGCGTCTATTTCCTATATAAATAGCCTATATTTTGATTGCTTATAAAGGCGGGTACCATAAGAGTAATAAGTAGTGCATAACCTTTTTTTTAAAAAATAAAATAACCTTTAATTGGAATCAAATGATAACAAGGTTTACAATGCTCATAAAATGCTTGCCTAGCTAACAGATCAGATGGGCAACCCGATTTGCTGACCTAAACACAAACTTGACATTATACTTAGCAAAACTACCTAACATATTCCTTATATCTTCAAAAATACCCTCATTATAAGAAACACCATTTGGACTATGAATTCCTCGAACAACTAGTTGAGCATCCGATTCTACAATAATTTGGCTCCACTTCAGTCGTAGTTGCTGTGAAATGTCGTAATATTCCTCTTCTCCGGCCAGCTACAAAGTCCCTGTTCTCGTTCCTTGCCACCATGTCTAGCCCTCTCATGTCTTCCTGAGTTTAGTTTGGCAAGCAACATCAACATTAATCATGACCAAACCTAAAGGTGGTGATACCCACTTCTTTTACCCCCCTCATGTGTTGCTATTGTCTCCTGTTATGCAGCCCTTCAACCCGCTAGAACAGATTTGGCGCAAGCCACCACTTAAATCTAATTAGATTTATAAGTTTTCAGACCTACTCGTTCCTTGCTTTTCAAAGGCTTTCAATAGATCACACAAAAGATGACATTTCATCCATATTACAGCTGCCCTCCTACTACAACTCTTACCCACTCCCCAAAAGTCGTCATTGGTCCCTCCAAGAATTTCCTACTTTGACTCTTCCACACCTCCTTTGCAAGTGGACATAATCGCAACACATGCATAGCGCTTTCATCCGTTGAAGCACAAGTTGCACATCTCGGCCATACAAGCATTTTTCACTGTAAAAGTTGTTCCTTCGTAGGCAGATAATTGGTACAAGATTGTTAGAAAAAGTTCATCATCTTTGGTGGTATATTAAGTTTCTAGCTCCAGGTCCAAGCTGGTGTACTAGAAACCTTTCCGATTGAATTTTTAGTTTAAATTTGGTATGAGTAAACTACACTTAGTGAAGATGATTCTAAAAAAAATTCATCAAAACTTTCCACCGGGAACCACCCCAATTGGCGATGGCCGGACGGAGCCTCCTATATAAGGGATGAATTGCACTTTTTAAGTTAGTTCGAGGGCCTATTTGACTCTTTAGCCTAAAATCATTTTACTTTGCACACGACTCCTTCACAATTTTTGGTCTCCTAAGATGTATACATTAATGATTTTAAAAATTGGATACAAAGTCAAATATCACTCAAAACATGGGTTGCAAAGTCAAATGCTCCCTTTTAATTATGTTTAATCTATTTTTTATTATAAAGTGTTGCAAATAAGTTTAATGATAGATTTAGTAAAACTAACAAATCAACTAAAAATGTAGCCGGAATTGATATAGGCAGTTATATCAAGAGGCGGTACTTTCCTTGAAGCTCCAGTCTCGGGCAGCAAAAAGCCCGCTGAAGACGGGCAATTGGTTATTCTAGCTGCTGGGGAGAAGGTAAACATAAAACATGTATGTTTGCCATATTTTAAAGTGCGCGTCTTCGATTTTTTTTAGTATTTGGTGAATTTGAATGTTTCTTTTTCCTGTTTTTTTTACAACTCTTTTTCTTACTTATTATTGTAGGATTTATATAGTCAATTGCTTCCAGCTTTTGATGTCTTGGGAAAGAAATCATTTTTCTTGGGACAGGTTGGAAATGGTGCAAAAATGAAACTTGTTGTGAACATGATAATGGCTAGGTAAAAAAAAGTTGTGTTATGCCTGCTTAATTTCAAATTTATTTTCCGCCATGCTATTGAAGACACATTATGCCTTTTTAAGAGCATCCCGCATGCAAGAGTTTCTAGTTTAAATAAATATATAAAAGACTATTTAATCTAAACAATACATAGGGGATGTTGGAAAAATGTGTGAAAAAATTGCATTAAATGGTAATTTTGGGACAATTTTTTGAGTGGGGTCCACTTCCGATTTGGGTCGGGTCAAAGTGGTTTTGGATTGTCCTTGTTAAGGGCTACAATTCGATATATGGTACGCTCAAAACGGATAACGGGTGAATGAGAAATCGCTTTTCGAAGTTTACCCGTTAAAATGAAAAAACTTGGAAAAAGGATGAGTTTCTAGTGTGTTAATTTCCCACACCGGAAAACCCAAGGGATTTGCAACCCTTTATAAAGGGACTCCCCCCTTATGGAGTTAAGATTCCTAAGGGTAAAGGCTCTCTCCACGCGCGCAGAGGGTGAAAATCAAATCCCGAAATCGGAGAAGAAAAATCGCGACTTGCGTGCGCGGGCGACCTGTCCAAAACCACCTTGACCCGTTCTGCTTCATCTCCTTTCTTGTTTTTCTCTAGTCATTTTATTTAATTAATTTCTTTTAATTAATTTTCTTTATTTTCCGAAACACACCCAACAACACTAACATTAAATATCCAAGTGGAGTTCATTATTTTAATTAAATAAAAATAAGTTATCTATTTACATATTATATTAGTTGTTTCCCTTATTCATATAAAGGATTTGGTCTCCCTGGACGGCTGTGACTTTATATACTACTACCTCCGTCCCAAAAAACTTTGCCATTTCCAAAAATTTGAACCTTAATTTCGATTAGTATAATATTATGTAAATTATAAATTTTATACTTTTATGAAAATACTTTTAACAAAGAACATTTTCATACAACTTTTATATTATAAATAATTTTCGATAAAAAGATATAGTCGGTCAAAGTTTTGAAAATGGCAAAGTTTTTTGGGACGTAGTATAAAGACTAGAAATTTGGTAGACTTACTTTTTTCAATAAATTGCTAAGTCACCAAGTTCATAAGACTTTCTACTCTTGAAAAGTAATCTTCAAATTGCTTAATTATTTTTTGCCCCACTTAGCAAAGACTAGACTCATTGTAGAAGGTATAAGACACCCAATATCTAATTTTATGAGTTAGCATAATTTATTTACACTAGAATATCATGCATTGGGGATGTTCCAAGCCACAAAATTAAAAAGAGAGTAAAACTAATAATCGTTGGCAGTATCCAAGACCAAAATTTTAGAGAGTCATATATACATGACTCATTTATAGAGTCACATAGGCCATATTGACATCACATTCACACTCATTTTTTGTGGGTAATTCTTATTTAAAAATTGTGTAGTGATTGTGATGTCAACATGACTTGACTCTTATTAGAATAATACTCCCTACTCCATATTTCGTTTCGAGCTTCATCATCTTTTAATATTAATCATTTCAATATAATCTTGAAGCTAACAGAACGATTCTAATAGCCTAGTCTTTCTCCTCGCTCATAGCCTCATATCATAATACAAATTCAATAGAAGGCTAGGGTCCATGTCAATATATTCCATGATATTGATAAACAAATCCTGATTTTGGATAATAGATGGGACAAAGCTAAGGACATTTTAATGATTTTGCTTGATTGTTCTCTATTGTGTTGCAGCATGATGACAGCATTTGCAGAAGGACTTGTGTTGGCTGACAAAAGTGGATTGGATCAGCAAACTCTCTTGGACGTGTTGGTCAGCGAGCAAATTGATAGAATTTTTGTAGAAATAAACAATAACAAAAATATTTTGTGATTTTCTTTTATGTTTTTCTTTGTCCAATTTTCATTCTTCAGTTTTTTGTTTTCATATTCCAGTTTTTCAATTTTAAATCTAAAAACACGCTCATCAAATTTTTTACCTGGATCTAGAACCGGCCGGAAGACCAAAAGTATGGTCCCGGTCTGGAACCGGACATGATATAGTCCAAATAGGGTATCCAATCCCGGATGTAGGAAAGTTGGGGTCGAAACCAACCCGCTCCGATCGGTCCCAACGGCTAGTTTGGCAGTCAAACGGCTTTTGTGAAACTCTTCAATTTGAAAAATTGATTTAAAAAAACATGGGCCGGATCGGTATTGTCTGATCATCGATCGGATCGATGCCGTCTGGTTATCGACCGGACCGAGACTGTAGCGGGACAGATCCACCACTAGGCGCAAGTAGACAAATTCATTGCATGCATATGCACTGCAACTTCGCGCATTCCAAATTTGGAAAACTAATAAATCTCACTTCTCTAATTTATTAGGGAAAACCGGGATATATCTTATTTTTCTGTTTTGGAAATGATTTGGCAGACACATTTTCTTGTTTTAATTTCTCCATTTTTTCATCAATTTTTTCAGAATAAGGTTATCCTGTTTTCAAATTTTCATATTTTCAATAAACAAGTCATAAGCTTGTGTTACTTAAAGAATTTGTTTTGGCAGAATGTTGGGCCTGTTGCTAATCCATTGTTCAAGATGAAAGGGCCTACCATGATAAAACACAATTACTCCCCCAGGAGTCCTCTAAAACATTCACAAAAAGACATGAGGCTTGCTCTGGCCCTTGGGGACGAAGTTGGTGTTTCAATGCCTCTGGCCGCAGCAACAGCTGAGGTATTTTATACATACCATTTAGTTCTATAAAAATTTGGGTCCATATGTAAAATATTTGTATCAAATATGCAAGTTACGTTATATTTAATATGTCCACATGAAGGAATTATATTCATGAGAACCCCTACTCAATTTTCAAGTGTGAGTCGGGCATTAATTTTGTTTGAAATAAGCAGATGATATTTGAACTGGAATTTTCACTAAAATGCATGTTCGTGACACATAATCATGTTTTGTTGCGGGTGTAATTAGAGGAAAAGTTAGACAAGAGATCATGAAATTATCGTTAGATTCAATGATGTAGTTTTAATTTATAAATAATACTCAGGTATAAATTTTTCAAATCACATATGCATTATACGAAGTATTAGGGAGATATCACTTGATAAGTTCTCACATACAAAATAACTTATAGCATCAGAATTTAACTTTTATGACACATAAATAATTTCTTATTGGTTATCTTTATTTACTAGTAATTTTTATAGTAAAAATTGGGAATTTTTATATTGTGGGATCAGACTTCGTGCATACAGTGCTCTTGTACAACATAGACGATGTTAATGTAGCTAAATTTTGTGTAACTTCTGTTATCGAAATATTTGGTGTAACATATATGATAGAGTAATATTCTAGAGAGTAGGGAGAGGTGAGAGCTCGAGAGAGAAAGTATTTGCATTCAATGTTTTTTAACCCCTACAACTACCCCCAAAGGGAGTGTCTATAGAGGAAATTTGGGTTGGGCTCCCAGCTTGGGAGGCCCGATTACAATGATGGGTTATTTAAAGCCTGTTTATATGAAGCTATTCTACTAAGTACAATGTGAAAGATATCTATTGAAGATCCTGGCCAAGGTGACCAGGTCGAGGCGACCAGGCCGAGGAGTCCAGGTCATGATGACTGTTCTTGAGCTAAATTGTTTGATCCATGTCTTGAGTTCATTATTTAAGGGAATCTTCAGCGTGGTGGGACCTCGTCTGGACGAGGGGACCCAACCAAGAGGTAGTCTAGTAGCTTGCAGTCCTGTGTGTGTATATATGAGTATGTGTGCCCTGGGTCCAGACCCATATACTCTATCAGGAGTCTCCCACTTTCTGAGTCAAGAGGTGTTGAGGTAAAAGGGAGTAGAGCATCTTGGGTTGCACTTTTTTATTATTGTTTGTGTTTGGTCGAAGAGGCTTTGAATTTCCTAGAAGGAGTGCTTCTGTTTCTTGTAGTTTGATGTTTTTGATTTTTCAGTCCTGGCCGAGACGTGATCTCTTGTACCCGATGTGTCTTTTCCTTATATGGTTTGAGGTTTTTAATTTGTTTTTAAAATCTGTTGTTTTGGCCGAGGTGGAGTCCCCCAGTCCCCCACTCCATCAAGCCGGGAAAAGTTCAGGTTGAGGAGTAGGCAATGTGTTTGAAGTCGAGGTGCTACCTGCGAATGGGCCCGTGGATCCAACCTTTTTGGCGAAACCTGACCAAGGAAACCCCGTGGAAGAATCCTTGGATGAGGGTCGTTGGCCGAATGATATCACCTACGGGCTTTGTCTGACATGTGTTTCTCCCGTAAAAAAGTCTCCCTTTTTATACATGTGAATGAGGTCGAGGGATGATCTTCTTAGCCGAGTTGAGTCTGTACGGGCATGATGTTTTGGCATTCTGTACGCTAGTCTAGGAGTAGTGTATGTCGTTGAGTGTTTGTTCAGAGACGAGGCATGTTGAAGCGGTACAACCGGTTTTATATGGGTGTTGCATGTTTCGCCTGTGATAATCATTGCGCTAGTTCGCAGATAGCTGTCTTTCTTGATGTGGAGGTGGGGCACGTTTCCCACACTGAGTGGTTGGGATTTTGGCGACCGCCTGTATAACCACTGGGTGCGTGACACATGTAATGTCCGTTGGGGGTACCTATAAATACCTCGCCTACAACGCATTCACGACACTTTTGGTTTGATTGTGACAGAGTGCTACCAAAATCTAGAGATATGAAGTGTTTTTTGCGCCTTCAAAGGTCAGTTCTTTGTTTGTTCTTCATATTTTTAATATAATTTGCTTCATAGGGTGTTAGATTCAGTGGTAGCGAAAAAATTTGTTCTAGATCTTTAAGTCTCGAAACCATGAGTGTAATGTCCTCTCCTGATTCCCAAGATAGATTGGGGTCTCCGACTGTGGCATCTGAGCTTGAAGCCGAGGGATACTTCAACTTTGAGTAGGAGGACACATCGGACCACCCTGAAGTCCATGGAGGATTTTGCCCTCTCTAGCCTAGACTAGCTAAGGACTGAGATGTCGCAATTGAAGATGTGGGTCGTGGATGCTAAGAAGAGGGAGACTCGTCTTCTGGCTCGCCTAGGTGAGGCCCTGAAGTTTCAATCTAACGCTGAAAAGGCTCGGGGTGAGGTCAAGAAGCGCGACATTGAGACCGCGAAGTTGAAGGTGGCACCATTGACAAAGCTGTTGTCGGTTTCATGGTTGAGGTCTAGAAAGCCAACGAGCATCGTCGCTAGTCCTTTGACGTAGTGTATGCTTGTTTCGGTAGTTGGATCAAGACTATGCCTGATGAATAAGGAGGCCAATGTTGTTTTCTCCCCCGTTGAGTGCCGGATGTAGAAGTTGATCTACTAAAGGCTTCGTCATATGTTCCGGTATATAAAGCTTGATAAGTTGGACCTGCCACTCGAGATGAGGAATCCCAAGGATGAGGTGGATCTTCCCCTCTCCGATAAACAGGCTATATACTAAGCTCTAATATCAGCGAGGATGATGAAAACGACGATGAAGCCATCGAGGACCCTGCAGACTTTCGGGGAGGGGACGATGGTCATCAGTAGTTTAGGCTTTTTTTGTATGGCCAACCCTTTTTAAATGGCCAACGTGCCTTCATTTGTATAGTACCTACCATTTTCCAATGAATGAAATTATCTTTTGCCTTTGAACTTGCCATTTTCTTTTCTTGATTTGCCAATGCTCTTGTATCCATGGGGGGGGGGGGGGGGGGGTTGATTAACTGATTGCATTGATTTTGAGTGTTTATATTTTTACTTTTAATTACTTTTTATGGTGTGTTGTTGTGGTAATTGCACATTTAAGGTGCAATCATTTTATTTTTCTAGTTTGTTGTAATTTAGTAAATTTAGAATCATCTTGAGCAAGAAACAATCAAGAATCAACAAAGGATCATGGAAGGGATCTTACAAGATCAAAGGAAAGTGCAAGAGAACAAGAAATCATGCAAGAAATGTGATTTGGTGACTTACCCGGTAGGGTATAGCCTTTACCCGGTCGGGTATGAAGTGACCCGGACAAAAAGACGTGCAGAAAACACAAAATCGTGGGCAAAATATTTGATTTTGACAAATACCCGGTCGGGTATCTCAAATACCCGGTCGGGTATCCGGTGCAGCACCTTCAAAACACCTATAAATAGCCCCATTTTCCTTCACTTTTAAGCATCCCTTCTTCCATACTCTTAAGCTCAGTCTAGAATAATATTTCTTTTATATTTTTATAGCATGTTTAGTCTCCAAATGAGGAGCTAAACTCTTCCATATTGGTTTTGCTACTTTGAAGCTTAATGAATTTGTAAGTTGTGAGTTATTCTCTTTAATCTTCTTCCTTGAATATTAATTCTTCCTTTAAATACTATTCCTATATCAATGTTGGGGAGTGTTACTAAGATGACAATTAGTTAACATCTTGACATTAGTTATAGTAATAATTATTTCTTCTTCTACGTTAATATTGGGGAGTGTTACTAAGATGACAATTAGTTAACATCTTGATATTAACTATAGTAAGATTCATCTTCTTTAATATTCTTTCTTGAGTATTAATTGATTCCTATTCATATTTCATATTAATATTTTGAACATTACTTAAAGGATCAACTAGTTTTGTTTCATATATTAATTAATATTAGAATCGGTCGATTAATACGCTTGTTATTAATTCGGTCCTTTCATGGTAGTAAACTTGGATTATTAATACATGCATCTCATGGTTAATAATCTAAGGGGAATTAATTATATTGATTAAACCAATAAACCGCTTGTGTTGAGGTTATCAATCTCAATCGTTTTCATCTTAAGTTTATTGCTACTATCAAGTTAATATACGGCGCGTGTTCTATATTGACTCGATAGTAAGTTTTATTAATGAACGCTTCTCGTTATTAATAACTACCCTCGATGAACTGGATATACTCCTCGATTGAGTATTCGAGAGGAAGATAGTTAAAGATATAATCGGGATCGACGAACATTTCATTAAGTGGATAAAAGCAAAGCCAAGTCTCCTTCTCATTAATTAAACCACATAACTCGTTCATCTTCGTGTTCAATTTTAATTAAATCATTCAATCAAAACCCCCCTTTATTTATTAGTTTATAAAAAGAGAAGTATTCCTTTCCCTGCGGATACGAACCTTACTTCAATATACTACGTATATTAGTTGTATTGTATTTATTTTGATTGCACACCACGACAAAGTGCACGTCAAATTTGGCGCCGTTGCCGGGGAAAGGCAATTATTTTTCTTTTTATTTTATCTCATAAAAATCAAAAACAAAAAAAAATTAAAAAAAAAATCTTACTCTTCTATTTTCTGAGCTTACATGAGTTATGAGTATATGGATGCCAACATATCATCCTTAGAGAGTCAAATTTCCTTCTTGACTTCTCTAATAAAGAGATTTATCTTAAACTCGGAAGCTCAAGATGCCAAGACATGCAACATTTGCATGTCTCACAGGCATTTTACGGATTTCTGCCCAAAGCTCCAAGATGAATACCTTGAACAAATTGACGATGTTGGTTACGAAAGGGATGCACCTCACATGAGGTATGATCCGTTCTCCAACTCTAACATGTCTACAGAGGATATGGTCCGGGCTATTGCTACCAACATGACCACCATGCAAAACAACATGGTGCAATTCCAAAATGAGACCAAGTCTAGCATTTCAAACTTGGAAACTCAAATGATTCAAATAGCCGGAGCCGTAAGTAGGCTTGAAGCAAGGGATTCGGAAAAACTTCCCTCTCAAATAGAATGTGATCCTAAACAGCAAACTTTTGCAATCACATTGACAAATGAGAAGGAAATGCAAAAGGAGATCCAAAATCCAGAAGAAGTAGAAGAAGAAAGAGACGCGGAGCTCCAGCTAGTCAAAGAAGAGGATGAACCGAGTTTCAAGGTCAAATATCTATCCTTGTCATCCTTTGAGGTACCCCCAACAATTCTAAAAACTTTGAGGGAAACTCATAAAATTGACAAGGATAATGACATTTTTGAAATCTTCAGCAAAATTGAGGGATCAAAACATTTTCCGTTAACCATGTTTAACGATAATTTCTTTCCCTCACTCCCACCACGTGAATCAATGAAAATCTGGATATTTGATCCTGGAAAGATTTTCAAAGTGAAGAGTCAAGAAATTAAGCATTCCTATGGAAATCCTAGGAGTGAAAGTGTGAAGAAGATAAACTATCACGATCCAAGTTTGAATGACTGAACACAATGACAGCGTCGTGCCACGACGTTAAATAAAGCGCTTCTTGGGAGGCAACCCATGCAAGGTACATTTACTTATTGCATTTTATTTTTGCACTAAAAAAAAATCACATCATTCGTCTTTTCCAAATTCGAACCCAATTCAATTACCCCAAACCTCCTAACCATATCCCTCTTTCTTCAAAATCTATCCAAATCATCCACCAAACCCCACAAAAAAAAAATCATAATCTTGTTCTCATCACTGTCCTCTTGCTCCACATACCCTCTAATCCACAAACTCTTGGAAGCAATCACCCCTCTCCCAATCCACAACTTTATATCTTCAAAAAAAAGTGATGGCGATAACGAGCACTAGGGACAGTGCTCCGAGCTAAGTGAGGGGAAGTCACTCATTGGTACACAATTATTTTTTCTACCTTGTAACTTGCATTATTTTCTTCACAAAAAAAAAATTAAATAAAAAAATAGAAGAAATGCTAGTTAGGTTGAAAACCCAAACGGGCAACCTAAGCAACATTAGCAAAAAAAAAGAGTGAGTAAAAAAAATGAGAGGCTAGGATGAAAACCTGAAAAGGCTCCTAGGCAAAAGGAGAGAAATGAGAGAAGAAATTAGTTTTGCAGGAGTTCATTTTTACCATAGCAAGCAGCTGGAGGGAGAAGCAATAACTTTCTATAGTGCGGATGAATTTAAACTGAAAAAGAAAACACTTCTTTTTTTCTTTTTATCTCGTTGACACTCTTTGGATGGTGAAGAACTTTATGAATTTTACTCGAGGACAAGTAAAAGACTAAGTGTGGGGGAGTTGATTGCATTGATTTTGAGTGTTTATATTTTTACTTTTAATTACTTTTTATGGTGTGTTGTTGTGGTAATTGCACATTTAAGGTGCAATCATTTTATTTTTCTAGTTTGTTGTAATTTAGTAAATTTAGAATCATCTTGAGCAAGAAACAATCAAGAATCAACAAAGGATCATGGAAGGGATCTTACAAGATCAAAGGAAAGTGCAAGGGAATAAGAAATCATGCAAGAAATGTGATTTGGTGACTTACCCGGTCGGGTATAGCCTTTACCCGGTCGGGTATGAAGTGACCCGGACAAAAAGACGTGCAGAAAACACAAAATCGTGGGCAAAATATTTGATTTTGACAAATACCCGGTCGGGTATCTCAAATACCCGGTCGGGTATCCGGTGCAGCACCTTCAAAACACCTATAAATAGCCCCATTTTCCTTCACTTTTAAGCATCCCTTCTTCCATACTCTTAAGCTCAGTCTAGAATAGTATTTCTTTTATATTTTTATAGCATGTTTAGTCTCCAAATGAGGAGCTAAACTCTTCCATCTTGGTTTTGCTACTTTGAAGCTTAATGAATTTGTAAGTTGTGAGTTATTCTCTTTAATCTTCTTCCTTGAATATTAATTCTTCCTTTAAATACTATTCCTATATCAATGTTGGGGAGTGTTACTAAGATGACAATTAGTTAACATCTTGACATTAGTTATAGTAATAATTATTTCTTCTTCTACGTTAATATTGGGGAGTGTTACTAAGATGACAATTAGTTAACATCTTGATATTAACTATAGTAAGATTCATCTTCTTTAATATTCTTTCTTGAGTATTAATTGATTCCTATTCATATTTCATATTAATATTTTGAACATTACTTAAAGGATCAACTAGTTTTGTTTCATATATTAATTAATATTAGAATCGGTCGATTAATACGCTTGTTATTAATTCGGTCCTTTCATGGTAGTAAACTTGGATTATTAATACATGCATCTCATGGTTAATAATCTAAGGGGAATTAATTATATTGATTAAACCAATAAACCGCTTGTGTTGAGGTTATCAATCTCAATCGTTTTCATCTTAAGTTTATTGCTACTATCAAGTTAATATACGGCGCTTGTTCTATATTGACTCGATAGTAAGTTTTATTAATGAACGCTTCTCGTTATTAATAACTACCCTCGATGAACTGGATATACTCCTCGATTGAGTATTCGAGAGGAAGATAGTTAAAGATATAACCGGGATCGACAAACATTTCATTAAGTGGATAAAAGCAAAGCCAAGTCTCCTTCTCATTAATTAAACCACATAACTCGTTCATCTTCCTGTTCAATTTTAATTAAATCATTCAATCAAAACCCCCCTTTATTTATTAGTTTATAAAAAGAGAAGTATTCCTTTCCCTGCGGATACGAACCTTACTTCAATATACTACGTATATTAGTTGTATTGTATTTATTTTGATTGCACACCACGACAAAGTGCACGTCATTAACTCCTTGGCGTCCATGGAGCTCAAAGCTAGTTTTTCTGATATGTACTTAGCTAAAAATGGGCTAGTGTATTGGGGGTGTTTCTTTTAGCTCGAGGTCGGTCCATCGACTTCCCTTTT